TCTCTCTCTCTCTCTCTCTCTCGGCTGAACAATGCTCTAGCCATGGCTTCTTATTTTCTAGAAGGGGAACAAACACACCCTTTTCAAAGGTCACGGACGGCTCCGCCTGGCATCTCGGCAGACCTTCCTATGGCACCGATCGCATTCCTGTCTCCCACTCCCGCAGCCATTCTCTTGCGTGCATTCGTTCCCTTGGATCGCTTCCAGAGGCGGAAAGGTCAGCCCACGAGATTTCCAAATCATCAGCACTGCCACAAAGGCAGTTGTTATGGGGCTGAAGGAACAGAGAAGGGACCCCTTCCCTAAAAGGAGTGTGTGCGCGTACACACACACACACACGGCAAATGTTGACGGACTGGACCCCGTTCCAAAGCATCAAGTTTAACGGACCTGTCTTTTGAGTCAGAACAGCATCGCCCCGGGCAACTCAAAAGGAAGGACAAGACACACAAACACACACACACACACACACAGAGCCTGCCACAGAGCCACCACCTTCTGTAAGCTGTTGCCTGCCCACAAATAGTCAGGAATGGAACCCAGGCATGGCAGTTACCGCTCAATAATAAGGCTTCCTTCCACTGGTTTTCCACCATTCTCCATGTGCACTCTCTACCGCACAGCTCATGATTTTATAAACCAGATGTGGCACCTTCCACCACCACCACCCTCCAGATGTTTGGGACGACACCCAGAGGACCCTCGTAAGGCTTCCCAGATCCTCTGCCCTCTTTCTTGTCTTGGCAAGGGCAGATAAATCCATGCCGCCTCCTCTTCTCTAAGCCGTTCATCCCAAGCCAACAACTCAATGGCCGGTTCAAGCTCTCTCTCCCCCCCCCCTTTTAAAAGAAAAAACACCACAACCACAACCCAAACATGTTCACTTTCTGTGGCTTCGGGTCTCTTTTCTCTTGGGCAGTAAGAGCGCCACACCACCTTCTAAAATGGAGAAGGACGAAAAAAACTTGCTTGTCATTTCCCCATCCTTTTCCTGATGAGCCCGGTCGGTCGTGTCTAAGAGGCCATTCCTTGGTGCTTGAACAATGAGGACTGGCTTTCGCCTCCCTTCCCCAAACAGGAATCTTTGTTTTCGGAAAGCTATTCTCCTCTGCGCTCCCCCCTTCCCGCCCCCCCCCCATAACACACTTTGTATTTTTATTGCCAACAAACATCTTCACAACAGGCCTGGCTGCAGACTCTTCCCCTTCCTGTCCTGCTGGCTTGCAGACAGATCTGCTCTCCGACGGGGCAGGAAGCGGTTCGCTTCATCCTGCCTCCCAAATCTACACTCAGATGTGTCTTGCAGGGAGTTTCCTGAAATTTATGTCTCCTGCTGCACAGCCTCCAGACGGGCCGGACATGCAAACCACCCAGAGGTTGCAAAACCCTCCAAGAAGTTCCTTGAAGTTCCAGTTTGCACACGCGGCGTGGTTGAAGACCTTCCCCAACGAAAACGGGTAGAAAACACGGCAATTCTAGGGTGGGGACAGCAAGAAAGCAGACACACAAAACTAAAGGCGTCAGGAGCCTTCCACAACTCTGTGGGTCTTAAAGAACCTCTGTTGGGCCATCAACTTCCTTGGCAGCCATAAACAAGGTCTCCGGCTTCTTTCTCCTCTCTGTCGAAAAGGAGATTATGGGTAAACCTAGAAATATACAGCAATTTTGTGAAAATGCAAAGAAGTCCCACAACTGGCCTTGGCTTCACAATCCGGCTTCCAGAGAACTTCAGGTTTATTTATTTTCAAAGCAAGTGTCTAGTCTTATAGAAATGCAAAGAAAGACACTCGGAAGGGAGGACTCCGATGGGCTTCCCCAGCACCCGCCCCACCATCAGCCACTGGCCCCATCGGCCGGGTGGTTCTGGGAGAACAGGCGGAAACAGGCAAAAGAGCCCCACCGATTCGAAGCTTATCTTGGCGGCCAGGGTCCAAGTTCCTTCATAGACACAAGAATATTTTCCAGCACAAAACACACATGGCAATCAATGATGAACCTTACAAATTTCAGAATTACTCTAACCTTTTAACAGACACCCACCGCCACCGGCTCTAGGCTCTCTCTGGAGGTTCCGGTTCCACACTTAAAAAGTGGCCGGTAGAGCTTTTGGAACCTACCAACCAACTTGATTCCGATTAAAGCACTGGTTCCCAACCGTGGGGTTCCCAGATGGTCTTGGACTGCGACTCCCAGAAATCCTGGCCAGCACAGCTGGGGGTGAAAAGGCTTCTGGGAGTTGAAGTTCAATAAAACCTGGGGGATTCCCAAGGTGGGGAATCACTGTTATAAAGAAAGGGATTGTTTCGGGGGGAAATGCGACAGGCATGCCAAACCATTAGCTCCATGGCTTCATGTTGTACCTCCACGGGCACACACATATACCTAACAGAGATACAACTGCTGCTTCCCAGCTGTTTCTCCCCTAAGACGATTCTGTTTGAGTTACATTGGGCCCAATTCAAGGTGCTTGTTTTGAGATATAAAGCCCTAAACGGCTTGGGCCCTGGATACCTGAGGGACTGCCTCCTTCCATATGAACCTACCTGGCAGTTAAGATCTAGTCAGGGGGCCCTTTTGAAAGAGCCGTCCCTCAAAGAGGTAAGAGGGATGGCTTGTAGACAAAGGGCCTTCTCGGCAGCTGCCCCCAGACTATGGAATGCCCTCCCGACTTAGATTCGTCAACGCTGATGACATTTCGGTGCCAGGTCAAAACCTTCCTGTTCCAAAAGGCTTTTAACTGAAATAATATCAGCTGTGGGTCTGATGGCAATTTTTAGAACATACATTTTAATTGCATTTTAATTATTTTGCCCTTTTATTTTGCCTGTTTATTGTATTTCAAACGCTGTAAGCCGCCCAGAGACCTTCGGGTAGTGTGGGCGGCATATAAGTCAAATAAATAACTAAATAAATAAATAAATAAACTAACTAACTAACTAACTAACTAACAAACAAATAACGAGGAAATCACTAGCTGACCCCTCCTCCCCCAAAACTCAAAGAAGAAATATAATGGAGAAGGGGGGCTGGTTCAGAAACCATTCAGTCCCCCCTCATGCCTGTCATTCAGAGAAGGGGTTAGGGTCTGTTCTCCATCATCCCAGAGTGTAGGACACACAAGAATGGGCTCAATTGACAGGAAGCCAGATTTCGGTAGAGTATCAAGAAAAACTTCCTAACGGTTCGAGCAGTACGACGAGGGAACCCATGACCTCAAGGGGGGGCGGGCGAGGGCTCGGACGCTGGAGGCCTTCAAGAGAAAATTGAGACCACCTCCTGGCAGATCTCTTTGGGTCTCGATTCCTGCACTGAGCAAGGGGGTTGGACTCCATGGCCTTAGAGACCCCTCCCAGCTTCGTGATTCTAGGATTCCCTCTTTGCTATGTTTGGTAAGAATTCAGCACAGCACGTCATCCAACACCGAGATCATGCCTCCGTAATGTGTTAAGTGCTAGAAACACTTCACGCAAGTCAAAGCTGTCAAATAGAACGGGGAAAACGACACCTCGAAAATGTGACCCTTTTGGGCCACAAATGTCCAGAAAGTCCGGTGCAAAAGGGTTCAAGGAACACCTACGAGCCGGAGAATTCTGAGATTTGTGATACTGAATAAAAATCGCTTTTCTCAGCGCTGCCAGTTTAACCTCAGGCACCGTGCACCCTGCACACACACACACACACATACCCATGCTTTCTGGAGAATTCCCCCAACCACCGAGATAAGGAGAAGAGCGGTACAACACAGCACTCCGCGACTCGTGCGGCAGCATTTCAGGAGAACGGGCCAGGGTGCAACGCGCTCTGCTCCCACACACCCCTCGGGATGATCCCTCGTTCTTTCACCCCGATGGCCACCCAAAGACCTACATCCACTGGGAGACACCACTGGGCAACTGGCTCTAGAACCGAGACCTTGGAGAGCGCCCTGCCCCAAACTCTTCTCAACAAGGGGAGGGGGGAGAAGAAGAAGAAAAGCTGGAGCTTCAAAGTCATCGTCATTTTGGCCTTCAAAGCACGGAGGGTGGGATCCAGGCCGGAGCTCTTGCCGTTGAGCGGTTTCATTTATTTCAAATATTTTTACCCCGTCTTTCTCTTTAAAAAGAGTAAAAGGTGGCTTACAGCTTTTTTTACACCTTAGTTTTATTTTTCTATTCTATTTAATTTTTTTCCCAGCCTCCTGTCCTACAGCGTTGTAAAATTGTTTTTGCCCCATTGGATTTCTTACACTGTGAGTATTTTTAATGTGCTTGGGGTTTTCTTTGTTAAACCTGCCCGGAATGGTGCCTTTGCACTAATAGCATGGTGTGTGTGTGTGTGTGTGTGTGTGTGTGTGTGTGTGTGTGTGTGTGTGATACGTAATTAAAAGAACATTTATAAGCTAAAAACAAGAAATATACAAATACTAAAAAATGATCATACTAAAAACAATAAATAAAATCAAAAGCAAAAACATGTTTCAAAGCAACAGAGCACAACAATTCAATTTGAAAAAACCCTCTTAGACGATGGACTCATTAAGGAAAAGCCTGCCTGAATAGAAAGGTCTCTTTGCCTGCTTGCAGAAGGGC